TCTCTGGCCATATAGCCTTGCGGAGTGCACAATTATATCCTGGGGGTTCTCAATGGCGACAATAACCCGGGCAGCAAGTTGAAGTTACTCCCAAGTTTTTCCGAGATTGATGATGTAGATGTTACCCAACAGTAGATACCTGAGTAATTACAATGAAAATGTTGAGATATAACACCATATAAAATTATAGTTTGTTTTCCAAATAATGACATTCTCCTAAAATTGTATCAAAAGTAAAGTCGGTAAACTCATAAAGGAACATATCATATTTACAAATGACTCGTTATACATCTGCATACAAACAACAGCAATTATCAAGAGATATTGCTTGCGAGATCTTCTTCTGATAGATTTGGTATACAATTGAGTATAAGCAATCAGCTCCAGATAATATGATTATACACCAAAAACTTTAAAACAATTTACCATTACAAACTAATTATCTTTGCTGATTCTCATATCGAATTCAGGGCAACTGGACAAACGTAGCCGAGTTAATTTACGACTTAAAAACAAAGAGCTAACATTCCAGTCAAAAGAATGTGCCTTTTAACACCAAATAGAACCTAAATTACATTTCCACGTAAAACGAAGACAACATCAGAATCCAGAAGTTACATTCCAACTAATTCTACCTATTAAATTTCACAACACTTGTGATAATACAAACTCACATGGACTTTTGACAATGAGTATGCCGTCAGCAAAGAACTCACACCCATTAACTTGTTTACAATGCACTCAAAATTATTAAGCGTGACAAAATTAAGGATCAAAAGAACTGATTTAAACTGCTAACCAACTAATATCTAACTCAATTTCAAACAAAAATCGAAAATTTTCAACATATTCTCGAGGTGAATTACTTAATAGATGAGTTTTACAACCAGTACTTAAAATTTAATTTAAAAAAGAAATCATAACAAGTGGGTTTGAGTATTATCCACTTCTACAAAAAAACAGTTTACTAACAATTGCAACAGCACAATCAGTATACGAGTACTCAATATAGTTTAGCAAGATTAAGCTCAAAGTAAATTTTTGCAGCGTCATAAAACTCCTAGCAACATGAAATAATTTAGGAGAAATTTTTAAAACAGCCCATTTTTCAATTTTATTGTGCAAAATCGACCGTCTCAGAAATTAATTAGCAAAAACAACCGAAAAGGGTCGATTTTGCAATTACGGAACTGCACGGGACTAGTAGTCCCGTGCAGTCCGCCTACCCCACTAACTCCGCTTTCTTTTCGTTCGTTTCGTTCCTTCTTTCCTTCTGCGATCTCGTGACCACTCTCCCCCGAAGAAAAAAAAAACCTGCTGGCCTCGTCGACCCCCGCCGCCGATCACCGCCATTTTCCGTCGCCGCCGATCACCGCCATTTTCCGTCGCCGCCGACCCCGACGCTCTCGTGACTGAGCCTTCAACCCCCCCAAACCCTAGCCTTCAACTTCGACTTCGACCCCCTGCCATTTGCAGTCGCCGCCTAACCCTAGCCCTCCGACCTCGTCGCGCATCCGACACCATCGACGCCCACCGAACCCCCATTCTCAGGTGTGTTTTTCTTTTTAATTTTGCTGTTAATTTGGGAGTTAGGGTTTAGTTTAGCAATTATTTACATATGAGAGGGTTTAACAATTATTTTTGAGAGGGATATTCATCAAATTTGCTGTTAATTTTGCTGTTAATTTTGCTAGAATTGGGTAGGATTAGTTTTTATTTTGTGCAATAGGATGAATAATGTGGTTTGGGGGTTAGGGTTTAGCAATTATTTACAAATGATGAATAATAATTAAGGGTGTAGCCATTATTTGAGATTGATTAAGGTAATAAATTTGATGTTGATTTATTCAGATATTAATAGATTATTTGCATATGATGGACTGTGTATTTTCAGTTTCGATGACGAACTCCATATCCATTATTTGTTTCTTTAATGGGAGCCTCGGCGTCGGAGTGAATAATTTGCCGGTGTATGATGGAGGTTCTCGGAAAATGTTCATGCTATCTAAGTCGTGTAATTTTGATGGAATGACTAGGGAAATACACAGAGTTACTAAAATTAAGAAAGAAGAATATACAATTAAGGTGTTCTTCAACTGTCCTATAAATGAGAGTAGAACTATTGCCGTGGAGATTACCGAAGATGAGGAATTGAATGACATGAAACAATTAGTCGAGAAGCAAGCGTCAATTGAGTTGTTTATTGAGAAGTATCCGATTCAGGAATTTGCCCAAGTTTCACGACCTCAAGGAGAGTTTTCTCGGATGCTTGACTTAGACAACGAGTCGATTGGTTTTATGACATCTCCAAGTCAAGAGCCATGGTCTCAACCACAACGTTTAAGTGAGTATTCTATCGGTGGGACGTCAACTAATATATTTAACGACGCTTCAGTTCATGTTACGGGTTACCCACCAGTCGGAGCAATTATAGAAGATGAAGCAGATGATGATTCAGATCATTTTGAAGAAGATGGCGTGCAAATTGATAGCATGCATGTGGCAGCTGGAATAGATGATGACGCCCGTTGGATGGAGCAATTTAACGTTAACAATGATTATGTGGAAGCTGAAGATCCGTTGCCCGACGAGTTTCATAATGAGGATTGGATAAATACTTCTCAAGCTGGATTTGTTGATGTTGGGCCAAATTTACAACGACCTGAGGACTTCACTTTTAAAAAAGGGGATCTATTCGAGAACAAGGAGGCACTGATTTTTGCAATCCGAGAATGGTCCATCAAGAATCGGGTCAAATTAAAGCCGGTAAAAACTAATGCAACAAACTACAATGTGAAATGCTTCTTTAACGATAAGAATGAAGTAGAGAATGCAAATGAGCAAGATGAGAGAAATAAAAAATGTCCTTGGTTGCTAAATGCCGCTGTGAGAAAATCATCAAATGGGCAATTTGTAATATGTAGATATTGCGGACTTCATACATGTTGCAACCCGTCGGTGGATGTCGATGATTATTCTGCATCTTCTTCTTATATATGTAAGCTAATTATGCCTGAAGTTAGAGCTGAACTTGATCTGAATGCAAGTCAGATATTTCAGAGGGTATATGACATGCGGGGGATTAAGATATCTAAATATAAGGCATATGATGCAAGGAGAAAAGCGTTGTCTAAAATTTTTGGAGATTGGGAAAAATCATATGAATTACTTCCACAGTATCTTGAAGCTATCAAACGAAATAATCCGGGTACTGAATACGAAATATTATCCGAAGAGATTGCACCGGGTATGGAGAGGTTCACTCGCGTGTTTTGGGCATTTGGTCCTGCTATTAAGGGCTTCACTTTTTGTCGTCCGCTATTGAGCATTGATGGTACACATTTATATGGAAAGTACAAAGGCGTGCTTCTTGTAGCGACCGGTGTAGATGCAAATGGCGGGTTATTTCCTCTAGCATTTGCAGTCGTGGAGGTGGAGGATACGTCTAGTTGGAAGTGGTTTTTTGAACTTATATACAAGTGGATTCCAAGTGTCCGTGCGCCAAGAATAATTACCTTTATTTCGGATAGGATGAAAGGAATTATAAGGGCGTTACATGAGGGTTTTAGTGCACCACATCACCATCGATATTGTTTAAGGCATATAAGAGATAATTTCAAGAAAAAACACGGTGAGATTAATTTGCAAAATCTTTTGTGGCAAGCCGGGTGTGCGACCGACACATTAGTGTATGAACATTGCAGGGAGAAAATCAAGTCTTTGTCATTAGATGCACATAATTGGATTGAAAATAACTTGAAGCCTCAATTCGAGCATCGGTGGGCATTATGTAAGGATGAGGGTGTGCGGTTTTGCATGATGACGACTAATTGCTCCGAGAGCTTTAACGGCGTTCTTAAAGGAGCACGAGCTATGCCAATACAATCTTTGGTTGCGAGAACATTCTATAGACTAAACGCATACTTCAACAAAAGGCGTGGTGATGGCATAGACTGGACAACACGTTACACACCAAAAAATGAGTCCATTTTGCATAGAAGAATTGAGGCAGCAAGATCATGTCAAATTACTGTATTCAACGACAACGAATGGCAGGTACAAGATTGTGACGGTATCTACACCGTTAAACTATTTGATGTTGATTGCACTTGCACATGTAACATACCACAACTCCAAAAAATACCCTGTGCACATGTGCTTGCGGCTTCTTCTAATCAGCCGGGAGGTGCTAGAATTCCCAGAAATCGGTATTGCTCGCCTTGGTATTCAACAGCTCACTATCAAAAGACATATAGTGAGAGTTTTCATCCACCTGATGATAGTCGGTATTGGCCTGAATATAATGGACCACATATAGTTCCACCTCAGTACCGGAGACAAGCAGGTCGACCACGATCTGTGCGAATTAGGGGAACCATGGATCAAGGGCGAGAAGGAGTGGTCAAGCACAAAAAATGTAGTCTTTGCAAACAACCGGGACATACTCGACCTCGTTGTCCATCTAGACACAATAGATAGCAACTAATTGGTAATTTATATCATTTTTTTATTTTTATATACTTTAATAAAGAAACTGAATTACTATATGATTGATTATTAACATGTGTATAATTATATGTGCAGGTTTGTACACCATGGATCCTGGGCCGGTTAGTGATGAGGTCTTATATGACCAGGCTCAGCATCGTTCACATATTATATCCTGTACAGAGGTAATTCAGTTACTTTATAATTGTAATATTTGCATTTACATAATATTGCATTCTTATACTATCATTGTCTATACAGAGAGGTCCGAGTATCGTTATGGTTGATCAGTGTTGTAAAAAGCGGCAAAAAGCGGGGCTATCGCGGCGCAAATCGCGGAAGCGGGGCGTTTTTGGAGGATGATGCAGAAAGTCACTGGAGTATGCAATAAGCATGCATGCGCATATAATATAACAGGTCAAAGTTACGGTCGCCACCAGAGGTCATGTAAAGACCATACCAATCTTAAAAAGATAAAACCACCAAAAATTAACTCAAATATAACAGGAAATTACACATGAAGACAACCATGATGTCAAATATAACAAAATTTACTCTCATCCATGTTTTCAAGAGAAAAAGAAAGAGAAAAGGTACAACTAATAAAGGAGTAAAAACAGTTCAGCAGCCTAAAAGTCGAAAACTTAATAAACAATAACAATTTTCACGCAACATCTAAACGATCTTTATAAATCCAGACCCCAATTCACCATGATAACTAAAGATCTATTCCCAGCCTGTAGTAGCAGGGGGTGAAGCTTCCCAGCCACCGACAGGTACGACAGAAGCAACAGCAACAGGACCTTCTGCTGGAGGAGCAAGAGCGGCATCCCATCCATCAACTACTACTAGAGCTATTCACAAAAAGGGGGAAAGAAGAACAGAAACAAATTTATCAATATATCAAAAAAGATCGTTTCAGGAGAACAATACTTGGATATTATCAATTAGTAATAGGTTTAATCATCCATCAAGAAATACTAGTAAATAAACAAATCTACCGGGGTATGAACATGAGCCTTGTTAGGATATTAAGCAAGCATCAACAACAACATTTCTTTTAAACAAGGGAGGGATATCCTTTAACCGTGTTGGCTGCCATCAGTGGCATTCTGCAAGGTTAAAGAAATCGTTAGGCTTTTGAAAGTATGTTGCTATTAAAATAACACTCTGAAAATATGTTGGCAGAATGATCTTAATAAACCAGTTGAAGAAAATTATGGACACTAAAAATCAACAGTTGGCAAGAGCTAACCTGGAACAGCAGTCCAGTCACCAGCAGGAACTGAAGAGACAGGGGCACCAGCTCCCATGTCTGCCCATTGGTCAGAAGTCCACTGGTAGCCATACCCATGCCTATGAACTCAGCCACAGCACCATAATCAGGAGCCACCGGAGCCTCTGCTTCTTCCTGTTCCTTGGCCTCTTCAGGTTCTCTATAGAAGAACAGATCAACCTGTCCAATAGAAAGATAAAGATATAAACTGGTCAAAACAAAAAACAAGGAACACAAATATACATAGATTTGGCCGAACCATGAGCGTAATCTGAGAGCAGGTGTATTGTGCAAACTTCAGGACATATCTCTGGCCATATGGCCTTGCAGATTGCACAATTATATCTTGGGGGTTCTCAATGGCGACAATAACCCGGGCAACAAGCTGAAGTTACTCCCAAGTTTTTTCGAGATTGATGATGTAGATGTTACCCAACAGTAGATACCTGAGTAATTACAATGAAAATGTTGAGATATAACACCATATAAAATTATAGTTTGTTTTCCAAATAATGACATTCTCCTAAAATTGTATCAAAAGTAAAGTCGGTAAACTCATAAAGGAACATATCATATTTACAAATGACTCGTTATACATCTGCATACAAACAACAACAATTATCAAGAGATATTGCTTGCGAGATCTTCTTCTGATAAATTTTGTATACAATTGAGTATAAGCAATCAGCTCCAGATAATATGATTATACACCAAAAACTTTAAAACAATTTACCATTACAAACTAATTATCTTTGCCGATTCTCATATCGAATTCAGGGCAACTGGACAAACGTAGCCGAGTTAATTTACGACTTAAAAACAAAGAGCTAACATTCCAGTCAAAAGAATGTGCCTTTTAACACCAAATAGAACCTAAATTACATTTCCACGTAAAACGAAGACAACATCAGAATCCAGAAGTTACATTCCAACTAATTCTACCCATTAAATTTCACAACACTTGTGATAATACAAACTCACATGGACTTTTGACAATGAGTATGCCGTCAGCAAAGACTCACGCCCATTAACTTGTTTACAATGCACTCAAAATTATTAAGCGTTCAGCAAACGGGTAGTGCTCTCTGCTTAAAAGTCGGGACTGCTAGTCCCGACTTTTAAGCAGAGAGCAGCTGCTGGAACACCAAGTGCACGGGACTGATAGTCCCGTGCACTGGGTTTCAGCAGCGGGTTTGCTGAACACCAAGTGCACGGGACTAGCAGTCCCGTGCACTTCGGAAATCACCCTCCGCTGCAAAACCGACCCTTTTCTCCTGAAAAGGGTCGGTTTTGCTAATATTTTTCAGTTTAGGTCGATTTTGCCTATTAAATTTTAAAAATGGTTGGTTTTAAAAATTTCTCCAATAATTTATTAAGGGGGTTTGCAGGCACGATGTGATTCAAAATATTTCCATTAGAAACATTTTGCTGACTAATGCTATAAAACAAAATTAGAAAATAGTAGAACCATAAGCTGTAAAACACCAATTAAGATAAATGATCTAAAATTGAATGATCAAATATTTGCACCATAATATTCAAACCCGCTTGTTATGGCCGGATCAGATCGAAGCAACTCTTCATTCAAGAACCCATTTCCATTATCGACCCCCTCGATTGCATGGATCCTTCGATGGTCGGAGGACATGAACCACTCCTATACATGTCAAGCTCTCGCTCTCGCTCTTGATCGATCGATTCCTGCCTCCTCTGCTCTCGGAGAAGAAGCCCTAAGTACTCGCCACTAAACCCTTCGCTTCTCACCCCCATTTCAGATAACAACGATCGGACCTCGATCAGTTATCATCCACAAAATGGAAACAAAACCCTAAAAGCTAACCGAAAAAGCCCTAATTCTGAATCTCAACAACCGACCACTCCCCAAACCGACAGCTCGCACTAAAATTAGCCCAAAATCAAGAGATGCAAGCAGAAAGGACCAACCTTTTCATGACTGCCCCCATCGAAATCGGCGATCGACGATCAATTCCGCCATTAGAGAGCTTGAAAAGTGAGTGCTGACTAAAGAGAGGAGAAAGAGGAGGATAGTGACTAAGACAGCGAGCGAACGATGATCCGGATGAAATTTCTTTTCTAAATTCCGCTGCCTGCCCTCGTGTGAGGAGGCGGAACAAGCGTTGTTCCGCCCTCTTAGCAGGAATAGTTAACCCTCCTATTGACGGGTTAAATTGGTTTTTGGGGTCACGTGAGGGTTTATTAACCCTTTGTCTTATTTTTGTATTTGGCAGACTAATAAAGGGTTAAACCCCCTTAACCCTTCATTTAACCCCTCACCAAACGCAGCCATAAAGTATTGAGAAAGAAGCAAGGCCGATGCGGGTCCCACTACACCCGCTCCCGCTCTTGCAATATACTGGCCTCCCCTCCTCCCCGTTGTCCACCCCGCTACCATTCAATTTACCGAGAAAGAAAAAACACCAAAATTTCTTATAAAAAAAAAACCTGAATTCCCAAATGAGGCCCCTAACAATTGCCCAAATCCATGCCCCAACTCTCTCTATACCGTCCTTTTCCAGGGGCATTTCCGTCCGCTCGGCCAAAATCAGCAGCTCGCCTCCACCGCCGGACAGCCTTCGGTCGCCGGTGGCGGCCGGAACGCGGGAGGAATTACCGCGGCGGCTGCGGTGGCTTGTATGCTAGGCTCCTCCGCGAAAGCGTCCAGCTCAAGCGAGGATTTTGTGAAGGAGACCGTATCTTCTCGCGATATCGTCATCTTCTCCAAATCCTATTGCGCGTAATCTCTCTCAAGCTTCTCCTTTAGGTTTCACATCAGTACTACGTGTTGATCCCTTTACTGTTTGGTTAATGGGTAGATTTGAATGCTTGTAAAGTGTTCGATGAATTGCTCAAGTTAGGATTTTTATTGGAATTCTTGTGTGTCACCGCGGGGATCAGGGAACCCATCAGCTAATTCTCGGCATCGCTTTACTGTAGGTAAAATAATTTTCATAAAAATCTGTAGAATCCTTGGATGAGGGTTCAATCAGCTGGGTTTGGAGATTCCTTATGCCGGGCGAGTAAGATTGATTTTCCGAATAATGAATCCTTAAAAAAAAAAGAAAAACGAAGAAGAAAGAAGTCCATTGTGGTTACATCTAGCCTTAACACGCAAATAAATTTCTTTTATATGATATTTTCTTGGGGAGGGGTAGTCTCAAAATGACCACGAAGAAGGATTATGTGGATTACTTGGTTTAAAAAGTAAACATTAAAAAGTTTTTTTTCTTTATTATAACGTAGCTTTTATTAGAAAATTTAAATGTAAAATAAATTACGTCAAAGAAATGAATCTCTCTAAATTTCTAAGATAGGCAGTGCACATATTCACTTGAGTCATGCTATATCGCATATAACAGGATTTCTTGGAGAGTATTTTGAAGTTTGAGATATTATGTTGATTCCTGGACTATAAGTGAGAGACAAGTTCATCGATTCTGATATCGTGGATGTTGTCACTTTTGTATTTTGGCAGTAGGAAACTGATGCACAACTCTCCATTGATTCTGACTTCCTAGTGTACCTGTGGTCTTGAGCCTAATCCTATCAGTAGAGTTTTCCTCGAGGGCGATGCTTGGTGAGGCCAACATGGGCATTTGCCCTCCTTCATTGGAAATTCCTTGCAACAGTGTATGTCCCTCAATAGAAAATGATTTTGTCCTTGTGTTTCTCTCTCTCTCTCTCTCTCTCTCTATTGTGTAAAAGTTGGGTATTTACGACAACACATGGAAAGTGGTCATCCACCTCACCACTTTTTATTTTAGCTATTACATTGTTTGGTTATGAATCCTTGTGAATCCTAAAATGATAAAAACATATTGTTTGTCTTACATAATGCAGATTTGTAAAGTGATACTATGTGGACTCTATTCAAAAGATTTATTTTACCATATGTAAGATTTTACCTCCAAGAAAGAAATTTGATATGTAAAACACAATCTCTAGCAATATATGACTCTCTTCCCCCCTATTGAAATTGCTTAAATTATATGCAGGCCAATGGACAAGTTATCAAAATTTCTCAAACTTTTAACCCATCTTCAATTGCAAAATAGTCACAGTGCAATACATTATTCCATATAATTGCCACTTCAACATCAATATAAGGGGATATGAGCAAAATGAACTCTTCTACCAACATAATATAAGCAATCAACACCATACTCTATTACATGAAGCATCTGCAATTAATTAATTTATTAAACCACATATCACAATCAAAGACAAATGAGGGCCAATGAGCGGTAGTGTTGGAGGAGCCGAGGAGGAAATGGGATATGCAGATGTGTGGGGTTTCATAGGGTGGTCTTGGTCATAATAGTAGATCTCGACGTTGGAGTCACTGAAGTAGTAGACGCAGTATTTGGTGGTGTAAAAGGCGGATGAGGGCAGGGACTGGAGGTTGCCGCTGTTGAAAGCTCCGGTGACGTCCATATTGGTTTCAACGGAGGATTTGAGCTTCATTGGGTTTGATTGTAGAAGTGGCAAAGGTTGAAGAAGAAGATTTGTGATGAAGAAGATGAAGAAGAGGTGCATGGGGGAGCATTGGTAACCTTAGGGGGAGCCACTGTCTAAATTAGTTTTTTAGTTCATTAAACTGACACATTTCAGCTTTCTCGCAATACCACCCAATTTTGGGTAAATTTCTGATTACCTTGACACGTCAGCAGATTGATTGACGAAGCAGCACTTCACCATGTTAATAAAATTGCAAACAAACAACTGAAAATTAAGGAAGCTGCTAATGGGACCCACCTTTTTTGCACTTTACCTGCACTTTAAAGGTTGTGGGCAAGAGTTTCTATCAACTTAAGTTTATAGTGTCCATTCATTCAAATGGGGGACCACATTCACATGGGTTGATGAGTGCATGTGGATATACAACCATTTGAATAAGTGGAGGGGATTATGCCACCTCACTACCAAGCATACACATTTCTCTCTCTCTATATATATATATATATATATGAGAAATATAGGTATGTTTAGTACCAACAAAAAATTTTGTGCTTGGTAGTAAGGTGGTACAATCCCCTCCACTCATTCAAATAGGGGACCACATTCACATGGTTGAGGAGTACATGATGATATGCAACCATTTGAATGAGTGGAGGGGATTATATCACCTCACTACCAAGCACAACTTTTTATGTTTGGTACCAAGCATACCCATTTTTCTCTCTCTATATATACATGTATATATATGTATATATATATACATGTATATATATATATACATGTATATATATATGTATATGTATACATGTATATATATATAATTTTTCTTCCAAGTGCTCGTGACCCCCTGCTTCTTCTTCCCCCATTTCTCCCCCATTTCTCCCAAGATCACCGCTGAAGCTCCGTGTTGAATCAGCCGATTTCCCCCATTTCTCCTCCTCCTCCGGCTACAAGTCACCGCAGACATGCTCGTGGTTGAAGGTACAGAGCTCTATCGGTATTTTTTTTAGGAATCAATCTATAATCATAACACTATGACTCTTTTTCTTTTGCTTCCATATTTTAATCTCGCTAGTGACAACAATTTTTTTCATTTTTTATTATTTTACTTCTAGATAGAATGGGTATGCATCTGGATATCTAAAGGGTAATGTAGGATGCATCATCTACATGGCTTGTGAGAAGATGCTATATGAGTATTTATTTTTGTATGCTCTACTACATAAGGAAACTTGGAAACTTTGAGATCCTATACCAAACCTGAAAAAAAGTTTAATTTTTTGTGAGTGGAGAATGTGATGGTTATGAAGAGAATATGACATGCTTATATGATTTTGTAGATCTAAAATTTTTTATTATTTGTATGAAATATTTTCGTATGTCTTGTGCTTGGGCAATTTGTGTTTTGCAGTGATTTAAAAAGCGCACAGAGGCGCGCGCCTCGGGCGCGAAGCGCTTCGGCGCAATGGAGTAGCGCCCCGCACCTGCTGCGGGGCGCTACACGTGCGTCGGGCGCGCGCCTGAGGACCGCCCTGAAGCGCCCGACGAAGAGCTCAAGCGCGCGCCTCAATTTGACGGTGACTCAACAAGCGGTTATTGGGTACTTACCCGACTTTGACTTGAACCCGAAAGTGCTAAAGAGGAATCTGGCTAGGGTTTTGACAATCACTCCTTCTCCGACCTTTTCTCCAACTCGAAAGCGATTACGAACTCAACTCCTCAGGCGCGCGAAGACGACGGACGACGGCGACAGGTGACGATGACGGGCGAAGACGACGGGCGAAGACGAGCTCAGACCGCGACGAACTCAGCTGCTCAGGTTCTTCTCTTTTTTTTCCAGTTTACTTTTTTTTTCCGATTCCTTTTCGTTTTTTTAAGTTCTTCTCCTTTTTCCGTTTCTTCTTCTCCTTTTTTCCGATCCACTTTACAGCCGATTCCTTTTAGTTTTAATTTTGTTTCCCGGTTTTTTTCTTCTTTTTTTACTGTACCGATTCCTTTCAGTTTTAATTTTGTTTCCCTATTTTTTTCTTCTTTTTTTTACTGTACGTATTTTAACCTGTTGTTACTGTTTTCAGTGTGTTGTTCTCAATTGTTTTCCGATATTTCCTTTCAGTTTTTCTTTTTTTTCCTTTCTTTTTTTCTTTTTGTTTTCCCGATTTCCTTTCAGTTGTTGTGTAACTTGTGTTGCTCTGTTATTTATTTTCTTTTTTTACTGCTTTGGTAGCTCTGAATCACTTGTGTGATTTTATTATTAATGGACTTAGGATCAATCTGTTGGATGATTGAAATTTGATGTCTGGAGCTGTGTGTAGTGCGAAAATAAAATTTCTTGCACTTTTTCGTATCCTCTTTCATTCTGGCAAGATAATTCACATCTATTACAAGGTTTTTTAAATAAAATACTTAACAAAAAATAGCATCTACTACAAGGTTTTCTTTTGACACTATAAAACAAATTGATTCTTGCTATTTGAGCTAGGTGTAGTGCGACTGCTAGTAGTTGAAACTTGAAACTTGATTTGCCATTTGTAACCTGTAAAGAAGCAAAATAAAATTTAGCAATATAGTTGTTAGTGCTGTAAAGTGTAAAGAAGGAAAATATATTTGCCATTTGTAACCTGAAAATTCTTGATTTAGCAATTAACGTACAAGTTTAATATTTTAATTCACTAAATCTATATATTATATCATTTTTGAATATATGAATTTTGTTGCTAATGCATATATGTGTTTTGGTGCAGATATGTCTTGTGATCTAGTAGTGTATATTTTATTTATCTTGAGTCTGAGGTTACATTTTCTGTGTGAAATTTCAATTTTTTATTGAGTGCGCCTCGCTTCACTCGGGCGCGCGCATCGCATTGCGCCTTGCGCATGTGCGCGTAAACTGACATTGCGCCCCGCATTGCGCCTCGCGCATTGAAAACACCTGATGTATATATATGTGGTGTGTTGTGTGTGTGTGTGTTATATATCATATTATATGTGTGTGTGTGTGTGTGATGTTCCATGTGTGTGTAATATATATATATATTATATATATATATAAATATAATATACTATATATATGAGAAATATGGTATGCTTGGTACAAGACACAAAAAGTTGTGCTTGTCAGTGATGGTGCACGATCTCGCCGTCGCACTCATTCAAAAATGTTCTAGACCACATTCATATGTGTAATGATGCGATAAGGGATGTGAACACTATCACTACCAAGCGACAAAATTTGTGGGCTTGGTACCAAGCATAACCCATATTTCTCTCTCTGCTCTATGA